TGGACTCGAACCCTAGTATATGCAAACACGGACAAGGTGGTGAATGTAGTTAGGTATGGCAATTAACGAGCCGCCATCTGCTGGCACATCACACTCTGAGTGGGAATTAACATGGTTATGGGTTTCTCTGAACATCCCTCTCCCCACCATATGTGCTTAAAGGATCCAAAAAGGAAACAGCTTAATCCAGGAATGTGAAAAAGAATGGTGACATTCTGTGGTGTGTCAGTGAGATGAGAAACTTATCAGGCACCATCTATTTCAGGATTTTTTTTTTTTTTTGTGGTATTTTGTGGTTTCAGGCTTCTAGTCCGTGACAAAATGGCACTGTCAGGATGATTTACCACATGTGTGGGATACAGAAGAGCACCGAGGTGTGGGCGTTACTTCTAAAATCTAACTTTGGGTTTGCCCTGGACGTAGCTGACACAGAAGAAAATACGTGTCTTCCAAGGCCTGAGATGGGGCTGATGCCACAGGGCTTAACCACGTTTTTCCGAGTGGAAACTTCTGTCTCTGGGCTGGGCTTTGCTCTTGTACTTCATTTGTACCTCTGTGCCATCTTTATCCAAGCTTGTCCATCTTGATTGCCTCTCACAATTCTGTTTTCCTTCTCTACCAACCTGAAGCTCCCTGAGGGCATGCACGGACGATGCTTCCTTCGTCTTGGCAGAATCCAGTGAGACTTAGCACCAACACTTACATTGGAAGTGCTTAATATATCTCGAGTGAAAATAACATCGCTTCTAGAGAAAAACTTAGAAAAGATACCGCAAGTATTTTTAGAAATGACATATTGTAGACCAACAATATAATCGAGTACATCCTTACATTAAGTACCGAAAAAAACCGTGTGATATTACCAGAAAAAAAGAAAGCCTTGCTTTTTTAGTGAGAGTTGGTGCCTAGTTTTGGTTAGATGACACGGGCTCAACCCAAGTGTTCAAAATAAGGAAGGATGGTGCTTGGAATCTAGGCACTATTACAGAAAGGTGAAAGTCTCTTAGAATATTTATGGGCAGTGGTGTTAGATTAGCATTGATATGTCAATAAATCATTGTCATTGCATCATAGTTCTGGAATATGTGGAGGAGAGAGAGAGAGAGAGAGAGAGAGAGAGAGAGTGTAGACCTTTTTATAAGAAAATGTCTGTGTAAAAACTTCTGACTCTAATAATAAATTTGATCTACGTCATATGGCACTCAGATATTATGACAAACGTGTTTGAGGAAGGCAAAAGTGTTTTGTTCTCTAAATATTTAAACATGGCCAATATATCAGTTGGGACATTTAAATGCTGTGGGAACACTTATCAGCAACAAATGAAGGACTCTAGGGAATGTAGTGAATTATTCTCTCTATCCTAAAAAGTAGGAAATGGAAGGTGACAGAAAGAAAGAGACGCCGAGGAGGATGCGCTGGCAACAGTACCTGTGGTGACTGCAGGAAGGGCTGGGCACCAAGGAGGGCACTGTTATGCCAATCCAGAGGTGAGGTGGTACAGCTGTGGCAATAGATAAGGATCCATAAAATTGACACTTCAAAGGAAAAAGCTGTACAACCTGGGAAGTTCTGAAATACCGAATTTAAGTGGTTTATGTGAATTGTCAGGAGGAGAGAAAGAGAGGTTGGGAGAGGCAGCTATAACGTGGGGAAAGGCAAGCTTGGGGTTTGGACACGGCGAGCTCAATGCAGTGAAATTCCCAGGTGGAAATCTTGCAGATTTCTGTCTGTTGCTTCGAGACACGGCTGTTTTGTGAAGGGTGCACTGAGGCATTTGATCTGGAGCCGACAAAGACAACTTTTAGACAAGCGAATAGAGCAAAGTTTGGAAATGCTGAGGTTCCAGCACAGCCACCGCTGAGCCATGCCTTCTCATTTCGGCTCTGGACAGAGTTACCTGCCCTCATACCTTACCTGTCTTCTGGCTTAGCCTCCTAGTTCCACCCACCCCTCTGTATCCAGCCTGGAAGAAGCCAATAGAGTAGTCCAAATAGATGACTTAAAGATGTGGAAAAATACTTGTTTTACAATGTCCATAAATGCTGAAATTTCCAAATGTACTAGATGGACATAAAATTGAAGAGTTATAACCTGAATGCAATGCTAATATCGCTGATATTATTTTCTTGGCGAAATGGAATCCGTCCTTGGAGAACTAACTCAGTTGCCTCTCCGAAGCCCACCTGACTCCCCGTCCCCAGGCAGTTAGTCTTTCTACTGTTCACCTTCCCGAAACACTTTGTTTACGTATCTGCAACAGCACTTGCATCTAGTTCTGTGCAAGGGGTTTTGTTTTTGTTTCTGCTGTTCTTGCCACCAGGTTGGAGACAACGTGAAGATAGGAACTGTTTTCTCCTCTCCGCATCCCTCACTCCCTAGCAGCAGTGGTTGGTGGCTGATAATTCATCACTGGAAATATCCAACAGAGGAATGTTGAAAACGGGGACGAGGCAACGTGCAGCTGCTGTAGCAAAGCCAGGACACACATCACATGTCACTTTCCTCCGACGCCGTTAATGCAGAACCAGCAGAGGCAGCGCTCTCATTACACACTGCTGGCCCATATTTGTAATGTGTGACGTTTTTTATGAAACACTGTCAAAGGCAATCCATCATGGAGTAACCTTTAGATTATATGCTGAGCTTGATTTTGAACAGAGACGTCAATGAACCCCAAGGATGATGCTAGTTTCTAAGAAGAGTGTGATCAAAGAGTTCCAGCTAGGGAAACGAGGCGGAACACTGTTCTTTTAAGTCCCATAGCAGCGACTGAAAAGGTTTCCTGCTGTCTTTCTTCACTTGGGGACAGGGGTATGGTGATGATGATCATGTGACTATGAAACATGGCTGAGTATTTGTGTCTTGGAGTACCTCAGGTGACATGATAAAGGAATGAAGACACACTAAAGGGCTGGCAATCTCTGAGATTCTCCAGACTTGTAGTAACTACCTTGAGAGACTTTTTCTTTTAAAGAAAAAATATAAAAAGACACAGGGCATCCTAAGTTAATTTTGAATGCCTACTGGACACACAGTTAAAAGGACTCAGTCTATCTGGAAAGATCTATGATCTTACACCTATTACAGAATATAAATAAAAGAAACCTTCTAAGTCCCATCATTTTTTCATAAATACTGATAAAGCTGCCTCTGCTGGGTTTAGTGTTTCCTGTTAAGGGAAAGCTGATGGTGAGAAAAACACTAAAATTGTAATTCTTTGTCTTCTTTAATTAGACCCAGAGCTCACCACAGTTCTTGCTGAAGCTGTGAGAAAATCCAAGCAATAATTCACATTGTCAGGTCAACAGAAAAGGACATGGAGTTCTGATATGACCAAGATTTGCTTACGGGATCTATCTGTGAATCGAATATCTCGGAAGAGGTGATGCTCTTCCACAGAAAAGACCCCCTGAAGATGTTGGGCACAAACAGCCAGGAAAATGAGCAAGGCAGCAGCGTCTCACGCCACCTTCACAGATGCCATTCCATCGGAGGCAGATAAATCACCTTAATGCCGATTGATGTGGGGCTCTAATTAATAAGTCCCATTAAATCACGGAGTAATGACATTTAGCATCTAATGAATGCCTCGTAATCTCTCGAATCATTAATATTTCATAGCATCAGAACGTAAGGATAGCCATGCGGGTGGGGGGTACAGCATGGTTTTCTGTCTCTGGCGTGGCCCCAAGGGCGTATGTGGTCCAAGGGTATTGCACCTTGCCATGAAGACTATATATATGTACCATTCTCTCTGTACCTTGGTCCTTCTTTTGGGAGGATTCTTCTTTTAGGAAATAGTAAGAGCCTCTCTGGAGTGAACATCTGTGACTCCGGAGAGCCCAGGAACAACAGAAAACCTCAGATGTTGCTTGGTGTGGAGCACTGGTTTGCTCTTGGCCCTGGACGGCCACCAGAGAAACTTGCGCAAGAGAAAAATCGTTGCTTTGATTTATCACTGGGAGCCTGCTTTATTCAGAGGCAATAATCTCTTGGTAGAACAGGTGCCACGGCTAGGCTGTATTGATCCAGCCGTCAGTCACTCCGGGGTGGAGAGAGCCCACGAGAAAGAAGTCCATCTCAGAGCAGCAAGAAATGAAGTGGGCGGCTGTGATCTCTGACGGTGGTTCTGTGGCTCCGGGGACCCTGGGCATCTTCGTGCAGAAGAAGGGCTGCAGCAGGGAGAACCGTTCCAGGCTGCCCTGAGCCGGTGAGAGGGAAAGCCCGTGCCCAGAGCTAGCTGCCCACGTCTCTGAGGCTGGGTCCTTCGGGGTCAAGAAAGGAGGCTCGCTGCTCTAGATCAAGAGTCTCAAGAATCAAAACCTCCCACTCTCAAGGAATCTGATGGGATTTGCTCCTGGGGGCCAAACAGAGACAGTGATCAAAATCAACTTGGACAAGAGGCAAGATCGAGCCTTCACGTTGGTGGATGTCTTGTAAGGTCGTGGGAGGGACAGAGGACGGGAGGCAGTGCGCGCAGGGGTGGGTGCGGAGAGGCTTGGAATCCGCGGCTGGTACATAAAGGCAGAAGGAGCCGGGGACGCCAGGGGCCAGCGGGAGCGGGGAGAGAGCGTCAGGAAGAGTTGAAGAAAAGTAAGGGGAAAGTAGGGGCCGGGTTAAGAGGAGGAAGGACGGGAGAGAGCCGAGCGAGGAGGGAAAGCGGAGGTAGGGGAAGAAAGAGGGGTCTGCGGAGAAGGGGTGGACCGCGGGAGCTGGAGGCCGGGGAGGGGGCGAGGGGCGTGAGCGGCGGCAGCGGGGGTGGCCGGGGGTGAGCGCGGGGGGCCGGCCAACGGGGAGGGCCGCGGGCCCGGGAGAGCGGCGGGGAGGGCGCGGGGCCGGGAGGGAGGAGGAGGCTCCCGCGGGGGAGTGAGGCGGGCGGGCGGGCGGGCGGCCGTGGGAGGGAGGGAGGGAGGGAGTGCGGGGCAGGTGGCGGGGAGGGAGGGCGCGCGGCGGAGCGCCGAGGCCAAGCGCATTGTGTCTGGCGGCGGCGGCGGCGAGCCCACCGGCGGCCGTGGCGGGCCGGGGAGCCATGGAGCCGCGGGCGCTGGTCACGGCGCTCAGCCTCGGCCTCAGCCTCTGCTCCCTGGGGCTGCTGGTCACGGCCATCTTCACCGATCACTGGTACGAGACCGACCCCCGGCGCCACAAGGAGAGCTGCGAGCGCAGCCGCGCGGGCGCCGAGCCCCCCGACCAGAAGAACCGCCTGATGCCGCTGTCGCACCTGCCGCTGCGGGACTCGCCTCCCCTGGGGCGCCGGCTGCTCCCCGGCGGCCCCGGGCGCGCCGACCCCGAGTCCTGGCGCTCGCTCCTGGGGCTCGGCGGGCTGGACGCCGAGTGTGGCCGGCCGCTGTTCGCCACCTACTCGGGCCTCTGGAGGAAGTGCTACTTCCTGGGCATCGACCGGGACATCGACACCCTCATCCTGAAAGGTGAGTGGCGGACGCGCCCCGCGTTCCCGGCGTCCGCGCGCGCGGAGCGCACTCGGGCTTCCCAGGGGCGCGCGGGTCCCCGCGGTCGCCTCTCCAGTCGCCGCGCTCCGCTGCCCCGCGCGTTTTCACCCAGCTCGTCTGCCTCCCTGCCTTCCTTCCCGGCTACTCTTCTCTCTCCCTGTCCTTGCCGCTGCGCCCTGCCCTTCCTTTGCCTTTTCCTGGACTGCCACTTTGCCCCTAACCGCTGTCTCTTCCTCTCCCTTTCGCCTCTCCTCCGCCCGGTGCACCTGCCTGACTTGGGTGTGTGTGTGTGTGTGTGTGTGTGTGTGTGTGTTTTCTTGACGCTCTTCCCAGGGAGGGTGGCAGTCAACAAAGACTGATCTTTCTCAATTAGGTTCCTTCCCTCAAGTTGCATTTTTCTTTAAGAAATCCCTCTGGAAGAGACGAGGTGCAAACCGTTGGGCGGTGGGGGGGGGCTTTCTCAAGAATTGAGTTGATTGGTATGTCATTAAATTGAGGCGGGCACCCCAGCCTGGAGGGTTCGTGGGGAGCGAAGAAGGTCTGCCCTCCAAACACCCCAAGTTCGGGGTCTGTTTGAATTGGACTTCACGTTCCATAATTCACCGGTGAAGGCAGTTAAGACACCTGCTTTATTCATTATTCAACCTTCCTCTTGACCCCACACTCCTCAAGGTCTAGGCAGTAGCCGAGGAGAGCCAAGGGCCACGTCCTTGAAGGCAGACTTGGGCACAGACTCTGCATGCCACACTCTCATGACTGTGACACTTTGGAGGGCTATCTTTATTGCTTTGTTATTGGCCTTTATGCTGTAGAGCATCGCTTTGCTCTTCTGGAATCTAGCCTGACTTGTGTAATTAATCAGATAGTTTTGAATATTTTTTTTGTAATCCCATGCAAGTAAAAATATTCAATATGATAATCCTCTTTTGCAGAGCTGCCTTTAACTTCTAAAGCTCAGACCTTAACAGAATATTTATCCCCTGGCAGAACAAATAGAAATAAATAAACTGCTTTTCCTTGGACTCACTGTTCCCAAAAGGAAGTCAGAAGTCAGTCGATCCTAAAAATTCAGAAGCAAGTGAACAGATGTACATTTTTTTTACAGCTTGCCACGGAACTACATAGGAAGGAGGGGGTTAACGATGTGCCGGCCTTCCCCATCTTGTTCGTTGGCATAGTCTTCATTTCTCAAACATGTCAATTTCCTCCTTCCCATGGCTCGCCCAGCTGGGGGCTGCCGTCCAGATCTGTCTGCGTATGGAAGGACTCCAGCAATTTGGGGGGCAATCAGATAGAGTAATCTTCCTTTGGGAAGTTAGCCTTTTTCTTTTCTGTTCCAACTTGCCTCCAAATCTGATTTCTCCTCATGAAGACACTGCATAATTAATCCTGCTAGTAGCACAGGGCATGCACAAACTGTAAGAGCTGATTGTGGAGGCTCGATTATGGAATGCTCATTTAGGCAAGGCAATTTTGAAAGTTAAGCAGTGTAGTCTGTCTTTGGAAATGGCAGAATTGCATTTTCCACACACTCTCTATGCCTCGAGTATTTCATCGCAGGCAATTTGGATAGAGTGTAGTGTCTGAAACAGCAGGGCAGAGACCAGCCCAGGGCAGGAGAATTCCCACAGGGACACTCCAGGATACTTCAGGAAATGTGCTGGCTAGCTGAGACAGCCAGCTTGAAGAGTGTCCAGAATCAAACGATCTTAGTAGTAGAATGTTATTAGAGGTCAGTGAACCCAATCTTTCAACCCCCTGTTCTAACCCCTCTACAATTTCTGGCAGATGGCTGCCAGATACAGTATCTCTACTGCAGAACTCACACACTAATTAAATGAATTACATTGTTCTGGTCACGAATGCAACTTACAGATGAAAGAAAAAAACAAAAACAAAAAAAAAACACCTCACATATATGGTATTGATAGTTGCTGGCTAATTCTTTGTGGAAACACTGGGACATTCTGGCCTGTCAGAAAACAGGGAGTCCCATACTGGTTCTGTCCCTAAATCCCAGTGTGTTATTTATTCCACAATTGTCCAAACTTATTTGGCCTTTGGCTTTGCTGATTGTATCTATGAAAGCTGACCATTTCTTTGGAGAATTTGCTAGACCTGAGATGTATCAGTGTTTTAATAATAACAATGTGAATTTAGATTCCTGGAAAGTTAGTGAGCTCATACTGTTAGGGAACCAGGGGCTTGGAGCAAAAGATGACACCCGTCACTATGGAGCATAATTTGTTGTTGGGGAGAAGGCCAAAAGTGCCTCTAGTACTTTAACAGTATTTTGCTACTAACCCACAGTGGGCTGGTTGAGTGACTCTTCTGGCTCTTAGCTTTACCTCTGGGAACTGAAGGGACATGCAAATTTCGTGAAAATGCAGAGTCTGTGAATGATCTGGAAAAGTAAAATTATACATATTTACCTGTCTCCGGCAGATGGTTCGGGCATCCATATTAGGAAACATTGTTAACATTGTTTTGGCACCTGACATCAAATGGCTGTGGTGTGGCTTTCCTAAACGAGCATAGACCACTAGAAACTGTCATCACGTCTAGCTGAACTGTTTGTCTAAGCAGAGGCTCAAGTTCTGCTTCTTTTCTCTCCGCATTACCTCATGAGTCTTACAGTCATTTAGAAAATTTAATTATTAACAGTTTAGTCGGATGGCAGAACAGACAGGGGTCAGAATGGGGGCCTACAAAGGTTCTGGTATGTTTAATGAACCTTGAGGGAAAGAAAAAGTCAAGCTTTTTAGCCTGTGGACATAGAAAGAAAAGGATGTAGATTAAGGGTGCAAAGAGGGCAGCAGAGAAAACATCCTTCCACCATAGATATTAGTATTTCCTATTCCTGCAGACTCTGCAAGTATTTCTGCAGTATAGGAGACAGACACATACAATGACAGAAATGATATATGTAGACTCGTTAGTATTAATATACCCAAAAGAAATCACACAGATAGAAATCACTTATTTCAATGATTCAGAGATTTCGGAGAAAAATCAAATTCTGATTTTTGTCCCGCTTTTCTGATTCTTGTTCACATTTATCTAGTGCATTCTTTAGGTGGTTTAGGTTGGACCTCCAAGCAAAACCTTCAACAAGAATGGTTGATTTCTTTCTTTTTTCTTTTTCTTTTTCCTTTCTTTCTTCTTCCCTCCCTCCCTTCCTTCCGGAAATGAGATCGCATATATCCCAGGTTGGCCACCAGCTCACTAAGTGGCAGAGCATGACCTTGAACTTCTGCCTTGAATGTTTCTGCCTTCACCCCCTAGATGCTGGGATTACAAGTGTGCTCCCGGTTTATGCAGGGCTGGGGATCAAATCCAGGACTTGGTAGGCAAGTGCTCTCTGGCTAAATTCCACCGGGCCTGAGGGAAAGTTACTGATAAGCATTTTAAGGACCGAGACTGTGTCCCTGTGCTATTTTCCCAGCCCACAATGAACTGTCCCCCAGCAGTTTGAACGCAGTGTCCCTCAGCATCAAGTTCTCCCTGTCTGAACCAGTCTCAGTTTCGCCATCTTGCTCAGTGGTATGCCGATCAACCTTTTATTGCTCTGATAAAATACCTGACAAAAACAACTCACTTCTGGAAGATTTCTGTGTTTCCCTGGTTAGTGAAACCGAGGAAAGCACAAACACCATGGTGGAAAGATACTCACCCCAGGGTGGCCAGGAAGCAGAGAGTAAAAGGGGGATCTGGGAAAGGGTACAGCCTTTCAAAGCACACAAGAGCACACCCTGGCTGATCTGATTCCTCCAACTTCCTACTTTCCGATTCCTTGAAATAAACACAGTCAAGTTATGGATCCATCCATTGAATGATCCAATCAATTCCCCAGATCTGCACCTCTGACCATTGTATTAAGTACATGGATTTATTTGGGGGGGGGGCGCAGAATTCATGTCTAAATATAATGCCAGGATAATATGAGATCTTATCGGATGCTTTAATGCTGTATTTCTTTAATTTCTTTCCCAATTCAATTAAAGACGTACGTACTGAAAGCTAACATGTGGGAGGTAATTCTAGAAGATTAGGGAAGACTTTGGGGGTTCTTTTGTGTCTCACTCTAAAGTTACTTTTGCTTGTGTGTTCCTGTGGTCCTGGCTTTTTTTTTTTTTAAAGATTGTGTTATGTGTATGAGTGTTTTGTCTGCATATATGTCTTGTACCATATATATGCCTGTGGGGGCCAGAAGAGAGATCTGGATCCCCTGGAACTGGAGTTACTGATGGTTCTGAAACATCATGTGGGTGCTTGGACTCGAACCTGGTTCTCAGGAAGAGTAGCTGGTGTTCCTAACCACCGAGCCATCTCTCCAGCTGGTCACTGCTGTTTTGGCTCTAAGAAACTTTCAGTCGAAGGACTAGCTCTGAGAATATGTAAATGAGTCACTTCTGCCTAATTAGGTGAGAGGTGTAGAATAGTTGAGCAAGCCAAGTGGGCACTTGAACAGAATGGGCTGGATGCTCTGGGCTTCAGGCCCCTCTGTGCCACTGGGAATGCAGTAGGTTTGAAAGAAGCCTTTTTGTATAAGAAGCAAAGAACAGTTAAGCTGGTGGGCTTGCCATGGTTTGTATAAGGTCTCAGAAAATAGAAAGTGACCTAAAGATAGATTCTTTATTCATTTATCACCATCCGTTTATTTACTCAAAAGAGAGATGGTGAGGTGTCAGGCGTTGTCTAGATGTAGAGGACACGCTGAGAGTTGAACAAAATGGACAAATCCCTTCCATCTTAAGGGTGCATTTCAAGGAGCAGCGTTTGTATTTTGTAGTGGATTACACAGTAGCTCCTCTTAGTAGGTTGGGGAAGATTACCTGACTGGAGTGGAGAGCACTTTGGGAGAGCTGATAGCTAGCGTTAGTGAGGAAATGACAGAAAATACAGTGCCGTGTGATGGAGTGTTAAGCCCTGTGGGGACTCCCTGACATCCTGTCCAAGTGCAATGGTCTGGTGAGCTA